TGCGAATGGGGCAATTAAGCTCTGACACAAAGCCATCAGGGAAATTCATCAAGCCTTTTGTTTGTTTCATTAAGTACTGTCTTCATAGAGGACCAAAAAAATCAAACTAATAAAAGATAGTTGCCATAATAGCCCTTTTACTTGTAATAATTTTGGAAATTTAAGATGGCAAAAACAAGATTTGATCAGCACCTAAAAGGAACTTTTGATCTGTTTCCCAATAAATTGCCCACATGGTGCATGCATTTGTAAGCTTTTAGCTGTCTGTCTAAAACAGAGCAAATTAAATTCATGCCTCTTATTTTGGCCCAGGCAATTTTTCTTCTCTCCTTTCCTCCCCAGATAAAAAGCACATAGTGGTTTTAAAACCATTAACCGGTGGATGACGGGGTTGCTCAACTAGGATGTCCATCTTAGCATTTCATACAAGAGAAGTCTTTTTTCCCCCCAAATCGGTCACCATCTAACAGCTGTTGCAGTTTTTGTACAGCCTCCAGGATCAGTTATCCTTGTTAGCCTTTCCTTGTTTTTTGAACACTGAAGCCAATTAGCTCGTAATCAGGTGGCTTATCTCCCCTAGCGCTAGGGATGAGGTATCCAGGAAACACTATACAGGACACTAATAATCTGGATGAAATGTTTGGGTTTTTTCACACTCCAGCTATCAAGCCACTGGTTTCTTTTTATGTCTTAAAAATAGAATGTGCTCCTCTGCTGCCAAATTGCCCCTGGGGTGGAGGTGGAATACCTAGCCTTGACAATGAGATGTGCTTTTCTGCAGTGATGGGAGATTTTTTAATTCACTCTAATTTCTTGCATGAGGCCCCAGAGGCTGTGTGAGAGCAGGGCCCTCTTGAGTGACCTCTAGAGCAGACATGTGAAACTTGCGACGTCACGTGACGTCACGTAATGTATCAGGACAGTTTTGCCATTGCCGGCAATGGGGTGGGCGTGGTTTCCCCGTGACGCATCCGGTCCATCGGCTGGGAGTTTGACACCCCTGCTCTAGAGCAGTGGTTCTCAACCTGTGGGTCGGGACCCCATTTGGGGTCGATCGACCATTTCATGGGGGTCGCCAAGCAAGGCTGTCCGCCATTTTTTTTGTCCGCCATTTTTTTTGTCCGCCATTTTTTCCCCTTTTTCTGGCGGGTGCCTTGGGCTGGGCCAGCTGGTGGTCGGCCTGCTCCGTCTCTGCTGCTTGCCAGCTACGCCTCGGCCGGTGCAGGGGGCCGCATATGCGGCGCTCCCGGGCAGGGAAAGTCCTCGACTTACGACCGGTTGGGTAGTCCTCGACTTACGACCGGTTTAGTCCTGGACTTACGACCGGTTTAGTCCTCGACTTACGACTGGTTGGGGTCGCGGCATTAAAAAGGTTGAGAAGCACTGCTCTAGAGCAGTGGTTCTCAACCTTTTTAATGCCGCGACCCCAACCGGTCGTAAGTCAAGGACTAAACCGGTCATAAGTCGAGGACTAAACCGGTCGTA